TATGAAACGACATGTAACAACCATCCAAACAAGCTGTTAATATAGGCAATGCCAGTTAGTTGCTTGAAAATAGTACGGGCTAACTGGCATTGCCTATATTAACAGCTTGTTTGAATGGTTGTTACATGTCGTTTCATAATAATGCATCGTATTGTATTGTATTGTTTGATGAATCCCTAAGACATTTTATGCCACTCTTTAGTACTTTATAGGGGTAAGTTTCCAAATAAATTTTAACCACCAACACGCTTAGTCATGGACATTATATGACAATATGGGCTCTAAGGCTTTGAATCATGATTGTCGCAAATTGATCAGACACCAATGACAGAGTTTGACCAAATATTTGAAGTTGTGCACTAGGCTCAAAGAAAAGAAACTAAATAAAGTTTAGGGGAGAAAATAAAATCATGCCAGAAACAACACCCCTTGTTGTTTCCAAATCATGAAACATTTTGCTTCAGTAATCATCTTATAAAAAGTTATAGATGTCTATGGACCTGTTTCAATTAGCTCACCAACAAACATTTTCGCTATCCCAGAAACCACAATTGTCATAGGAATAGATATCTTGGCACTTCCGGTGATGCTCGTCAGCAACTGCATTGACAACACAGAAGAAGATTCACGAGAGAGTACTTAAGAACATCAAATTATCCAACTAGAAAAGCAAACATCTCACGCCCTGAGGCTTCAACAAGTTCCTCATGTTTCCCAATTATATTCACAGAGATTTGGTTTCATTCTCAATTTTCTGATATCACGTCTGTAATGAAAGACGAAACACATTGCTTCAATGGGCTAAATAATAGGGATTGGTCAAATATCTGGTAATGAGGCCATCTCAACTCAAACAAATGATACCAAATCATGCTAGGAAAAGTATGAGATAAGACAAGTAAGCATCTCAATGGGCCACAAGACCATAGAGAACAAAGATATTCTCTCCAACATATATCTTTAACAATTTGTCATGTTCTGACATTATATTTTTACGGAAAGACAACACGCACAAGCTAAGGGAGAGGAGAGAACCACTCTCAAGACATCATCCATTGTACTTTGTGTACAATAATATAGAACATATTCAGGCTTTGAAATTGAGGAAAATAAAAGATGGTAAAGGGGGAGAATGGCAAAACATACCCGCTTCATGTTGGATTTCTGAAATCCAGATCTCCGAAAAGATTCATATCTACTCATTTGCTCCTCCGTAAATTGGGATAATATGGACCTGAAAGAGAAATGATTAAAAAAAAATGTGGTCTCCTTTTTTGCTTTCACTGATTTGAAAGGAACAGAAAATAGATAACAAAGTTTGACAACAAAAAGCCACGTACAAGTTTTCCGAAGCCAATATCCACCTCCTTTCTTCTACCTTACCTTATCCAAAAAAAATATCTACCTTCTTTCTTGAAGTGTCATAGTGACATTATTATTACCAGGTCGAAAACTGCTGAATATAGGAGAGAAAAATTATCTAAATTGGAGCTTACATAACAAGGAGGTTTAGAAGAAAAACTTTAACATAACAGGTATATATATAGCTGCGATGTACTATTCCCATTTGTTACTTTCCCATTTTGCCCTCACTTAACAATGCTCATACAAGTAAGACTTAGAGACTTGCTGGGAGAAAAGTATTTTTTTTGAGTAGGAGGCACCTCATAAAGTTTTACATAGAGCTACTCTTTTTTTTCCTTTTGGGGGATAAATTTTTGCATAGAGCTAATTTGAAAATGTGAATTTAATATTTAACACCTACTAATATTTTCTATTGGTATTTAACTGTATTATATCAAGCAAGATGCATCTTATAGTCTTATCTGTTCATAGATCTCAATAGAAGCATCAACCTTCTGGATATAGATACATAGTTTTTGAGAATTTTCATAGAGCAGATATCATGTGGGTACGCAACATACTGAAGAGAGTTAAATTAATAGTTTGAGTAACAAATAAACAAGGAA